GATACGACAATAACCTATTAAATGAAACGCATTGAAGATTTAGTAAAGGTTGAGATTGTGAACTTCCTTAGTAGATGATGATGAAAAGAGACTGACCAATTAGGTACAAATAAGAAACTATGGGGTTTTGATATGATGTTTATTGAGATGTTGTTAATTGAATTGGATAATTTGTTCGAATAAATGAAATAGTTTAGAAATAAAGTAAAAAATGAGTTAAAGAAGAAGAAGTACTATTTAATTTTTGAAAAGTTAATGATTGATTTGAATCATAAGAAGTCAATAAGATTTCTAAATCTAATGATGATTTTGATTTTGATTTAGAATTTGATAAATTTGAATTCGAATTCGAATTTGATAGTTTTGATCATTTAAAAAATCTGAGATGAACTGAATGATGATATCTCCAATACTATACTTTGCTTGATGAGATTAGATTTATTAAGAGTAGTTTGATTTTGATGGTTTGATGAATTTCTAAGATTACTAAACGAAGCTACTGCTAATAAAGTATGATGTGATTTAGTAAATAGTGATGGTTTGGAATTTGAATTGTTGGTTTAGTTGTGGTACTGTTGTTTCCATCTGAATTTGAATTTGAATCGATAGCGGTAGTAGTAGTAGTATGTAGTCGTGAATGGCTGTTTTGGTAGTGGCTGTTGTAGGTTTGTGAGATGAAGGATGGTGGCTTTGTTCAAACTTGTCCCGTCCCTCTCTGTCGCGAACACTCGGTCCTCAAGGAGTGTTTGCGAGGGAGAGGGCAAACTTAACTAAGTCCCAGTCAAACTTAACTAAGTCCCAGTCTGGACCCAAGTTCCATCAACTGGTTAGGTCCAGACTGGGACTTAGTTAAGTTGGGGCTTTGCTAATCTCCACTTTCAAGTGGTTACATGAATAAAAGTTCCTCGACAAAGGAGGGAGAATGAGGCTTCCTGTGTATGTACTTACAACTGTCTGTACAGACTGAGCGTTCAGGCAGGGCCTGAGATGACCTGAGCGGATCAGGTAGTCCTCCCTCAGGCTTCTTGGCTAAGCAATAAAACCTGAGGAAGCTTGGCTCACCTGCTCAGCTCTCAGCTCATGTTGATCATGTCTGATTACATGAGCGGGGGACGGGGTAGGCCCCTACCCGTATTTTTTGAGTTGAGGCTCACCCTGAGAACCAACTTTTGAGAAAATTATCAAAGACAAACAATCAATTCAATAAGCTGATATTGTTCAGGGAACCTGGCATCCCAAAGAAAATGTGCCTTCTTTGAGAACAAAGATGGGAGTATGTTCTTTTCCTTTGTACTCTCCACTCCAGCCAAGTGGGCAATTCTTCCAAGCCCAGTGCATCCCATTGAGAGTACCCCTAAACCAGGCAGACCATGTAGCTTGTATTCCTGTGTGATGCAATTGAGCTCCTCAGGTGGTTGGAGATAATATGGACCATATATCCCATTTATATGCTTCATGAATAGCTTGAGAGGTAATATAGATGTCATCTCCCCAATACCAATGTAGTGGTTGGTTGCATTGGTAGGAAGTCCAAGGGTAAGCCGTCTTGAAGTGCAAGCCACTTTCTGATACGCAGCAAGACCCATCACTCCACACACATCTGGCTTTTGAATTCAAAATAAATATGTACATCACAGACTCATCCATCATTTTGCTTACTACAGTCAAACCCGCGCAATCACATAATTTGGGTGGAAGACTTTTCCTATGCATTTTGACGGGTTATGCAATCCCGTTGTCAAATTTGGCAGTAAAAAGCATCAAGATTGAGGAATTTTTCTATGCATTATCACGGGTTATGCAGCTGCGCGGGTATGCAATTGTTCGACTGTATTTTTTATACAGCCTGAGTAGAGTTGGAATTCTACATGTAATTGTCCACATCATACCAAAACAGATCATTAGATCATGTCATTTTTGCAAAGAATCCATATACATCATGAGATGATTGAAAGAACATTACCCAGTCATATATCATCTACCTCTTAATGTTAACATCATCATTTCTTGTTTGATGACTTGTGAGGAAAAAGTATCTGACTATAAGAGGGTAAGCTATTGAACGCACAGTTTCAAACATGGTACTTCAAACATATGCCTGTTATGATTCTTTGTTCATCCTACACCACAATCAGGTTTTGACTGTTTGCAAGTGGTCCCATTTTGTTCTGCGGACCGGTGATCTGGCTTTGTTCAGTGGGTACAAATTGTTGACAACCCGGTGGCATTTGATAGAGAAAAACAAGGCAGGCACAAGACTTGTGATCAAAAGAAGATGCCCTCTTAACCTAACACCAATTCCAATGTTTTATGCTGGGTTTTTGAAAAAAAAAATCGCTTCAGCCTCCATCAAGATCTTGAACTAGCAAAGTCAGAATTTAGAATGCCCTGACACTTCAAATTTGCGCAATTTGTTTGGACAGCTGCTTGGGAATATGCTTGAATTATCTCAACAGCAAAACTACTGGCTTAATATATTCCTACAAAGAAGAACCAACTGTACTGAAAGGCTGGACAACTAAGATCAAGTTACAAGATAAATTTGCCAACAAAAAACAAAAAGATTATCAGTTACATACTACCAAATCAGAACTCAACGGCAAGCTGAGAGCACGGTAAAAATTCAACAAAGATACGCTCATGTTGAAGACAACAGTAGTTCTTCAGCCTTTGAAAGCTGAAGACAGAAGAAACACAGTGATAAAGATACACCAAAATTTGAACACCACTCTTGTCAACATGCATATCACTACTCCCGGCTTTTGGTATGAGGTTCAACCTTCAGAATACATGAAAATACTGATGGTCAGAGCAGAGTGTATTACAGACACTCCAAGAATCTCAATCAAATGAATTCTTTAAGAATCATTCCGTGGATTGGGACATATTAATACACGCACGTTAAAATAATGTTCCTCAACCGTTTACAGATGTAAGAAGACTTACAATCCATCAATGCATTATAGTGATTTATTAACCCCCTATCCGTGAACCAAAGATCTTCTCCCCAATCATTCGCATCAACATAGGCATTGAACTATCGTTATAAGCTTTTTGAATATCGGCTTTTGCCATGCGGGTACCAATATAAGTCTTTCCTTGAGGATCGCAGGCGATTCGAATACATTCTTCTTTAGCCTTCTCGTTCCACCAAGAAGGCAAGTAGTTGGGACATCGCTGAGCCTTTGTTAGATAGCTCTGAAAGTGTGCGATAGGCAATCCTGGTCCCTTGTCTGTAGCATAAAGACCAACCCGGACCCCATCCCATACACACTCATCATCGCAACGCAATCTGTATAGATCAATTATCCTTTTATAAATTTCACCTTGAGGGTGTCCTTCGAGGAGATTCAAGCGGCCGCTGAAGATGGCTTGAAGAGACGCAGACGATGAGTTTGAAGGTGCGGGGCGCGAAGTGTTGGCGTTGAGCGTAGCTGTTGGCGAGAAAGTCATAGTACTGAGGTCCAAATGAGTGCAGGATAGTGGATCATTGCCAAGGTTGAAAGGCAAGCCTGCCGAAGCAGCGAATGGAGGTACGTGACTCTGTGGATCGCTTTGCTGGCTAGACTCGGCATTGGGTTGATCGCTTTTAGCTTTGGATTTCTTCTTCTTTTTCTTCTTCTTGGCTTTGGACGCGTTTGGCTCCGTGGATTGAGTATCCGGCGCGGTAGGTTGAATGGTGTCACTTTGTGAGGTAGTTGACTCTTCAGGCTGAGGATCCTGTGATCCGAGCCCAGCGCTGGTATGACCATCACTGACTTCAGTGGGTTCCAGGCGCGGAAGTTGAGTGACCTTGAGAATTGCCTTGTCTATGAATCACAGAGACTCGAGGAGAGATCAGTATATCAGGACTTCATAGTGAAACAGAACGCGCAAAACTCACCTAGCATGGCTAAAAGAACAGCTTGACTCCCAGGTTCGTTGTTCACATCTCCAATGTAACCGATAAATCCCTTCTCGGTGTAGCGCTCAAATATCACTGGTGATTCGAGCTTCACCTGGTCGTTGACCATGTATATTTGAGAGTGCTCGGAGGCTCTGCTGATGTGCTGGGCTTTCACCGTATAATCAGATTGTAAAGGGGTGTTGAAAACATCGTTGAACATTTCGTTTAGACTAAAATTTTGTCGCATAATCGCGCCGAGCTTCCATGTAAGACCAAGATCCCTTTGAAAAATCGATTTTGTCGCCGAAGGTTTCAAAGCGCTCGCGAAGTTCAGGCACATGATCACAGTTCCACCTTGCTTGGCGTAAGACGAGACTTTCTTGATCACACTTGCATACTCCTTATCGCAGAGTTCGCCATCCACAAGAAGGACCACCTTAGGCTTGGCAGTCGAATCAAGAGCAGCAAGAGATTCGTTTATGGTCTTTGCTTCTTGAACCGTGTACAAAGACGCGATCTGATTGTGGAAATCTTGATGAATTTCATGATGATTGTCGTACCCGTCGGTTGTATGAATCATCAAAATGTCAGACATGTTTGAACCATCGATGGAGCTTTCTGAGAAGGGTTCCCAAATGATGAATCATAGCGATCACAGATTTGTTTGGGAATCACGTGACAAAAAACCCGCGGCGCTCTCGGGACAGCGGGACACGGAAGAGGCACTTCTCCTCCAAAGAATCTTCTCCTGAGTCTTGCGTGAATCTGGATTCTGGATGACCTGCCATATTTCATTTCCTCATCATACTGGACTCAATCCATTGACCTGTTGCAAAGTAAATTGATGAGCTATTTTCAACAATGTCCGCTGTCTTCATCATCTTTGATTTCTATTCATACCATGAAGGAAAGTCCGATGCACTCTGTTACCTTGGCTCAATGATAAAAATTAAGATGCTCTTTTTTGATGAGCAGGTTGCGTTGTAATTCTTACACAGATTGAGTCAAATCTACGACATTTCTCTAGCATGATTATGTAATCTACTTCCTTCACCTTGCATAGTTCTTACTTGCTTGAACAATTGCTGATGAGAATAGCAATCAAATATATCCAAAATATAAATGAAGTAATTCCTTCGAAATCCATCCTTTTATGAATAAAAAGACACATATCTATGTGTTGTTTAAATTCAGGCGCGGCCATACCTTCCTTCTAAGTTCTCACATATCGCGTCTCGAACATAACGCACAACGCATTAGGGGGTATCAAGTAGAGCGTTTTCAGAGCTTTCGCGAGCAAAACCTAGCGTGGGATCAAGCAGCTGTCTGACCGCACGCACCGACACGCACACTGCTTGATATCGGTGCGCGAGGACCCGTGGAGTCTGCTCGAATCGAGTTTCTCACAGTCCACGTGAGAACGAAAGGGGACAGAGCTGGACATAAGTAACGGCTGTTTACCAGAACACTGTTTCATAAAACAGTGTATGGTGTACAAAACAGTAGGGAGCAGGAAAGTGTCGTCTTCGTTTTCACTAGAGAATATTCCCATCAAAGCTAGGTCACGAATCATTTGCTGTCGTGGGGAGGTTTTAGGCATCGTCGTACGGGCCGTCGGTTAAACTGAAATTTGGAAAGAGGGATGTGATGAATCAGTGATGCTGGTGTTGGTGTGGTGCTCTTGTGTGGGCTGGTGTGTGAGTCAATGGTATCTCTGAGACTGAAGAAAGGAAGGTTGGACGATACGAGTGTCCTAATGTACGTGAGTGAAAGTGAATTGATTGTGAGAAGTGTTGTTGACCTCGACCTGCCGATAATGTATTAATGCAAACAGGGTTTTTAAAGGCTTTTAAAGAAATAAAAAGTACGACACCTAGCATGATACTTAAGACGTAAGGGTGTTGTGAGAACTGCTGATGTAGCACAGGCTTCTGCTCGCTTGCTAGCAGGAGGGCCTGAGCCAGTTGCTCGATTCACAATTTTCCCACCAAGCTTAATGACAGATTCGAGCAGTGGGAAACTTCACAACGAGCAGCAGAAAAAGCCTACTTGATACCCCCTATTCCATCACAATTTGTCCTCTTGAGACTCTTTATTCAAGTCAATAAGTGACCGGATTAGGTCGGTAGGAGGGGTGAATGAAGCGGCACATTTGTTCATCAAGACCAGTGAGCTTGGACTGAGGCCGGTGACACCTTTGGGGATCTGCTTGCAAGTGACGTGACACTTATGGGGATTTCCTTGCAAGTGACCTGACACTTACTGGGATCTGTTTGCAAGTGACCATCTATATCGCTGCTGCCTGAGCACGATTCTGGAGCTTGACAAACGATCTCCGAGATACCAACCAGCTGTAAATACTCCACGCCACTCTGCGGAGGGAGCGCTCCGCTCGATCATGATCATTGATGCCGACACTGTAGAATTTAAACATCCCAAATGAGATAACAACTCCAGGCGAAGTCTAATTAACATAGCTCGACACCCAATAGGCCGTATTGTCTCATCACGATCAAGCAAGAATTTATTAATGAAAAGGCTACTTAAGGTCCCATCACCTTTAAATGTTGGAAGACCTGGCCTTTCACCAATAAAAGTTGGATTATACATTTCCTAAAGCATTATATACTCACTTCTTCTTAATGCAATCCTGGTTGTGACCAATCGCTTCGCTCTCTTCATATCATTCTTTTAGTCACTCGCTACCATTTGCCTTTTAACTTACTACCCTTGAATACCTGATTTACCAATTAGTGCTTTCCTATAGTCAGGATCATACGTATCCTGATTATTGTTCATTTCACCCTACCGCTATATCATTCTGTTCAATTAGTTTACCTTTCAGTGCATCCTTTGGGATTTACTTCACAGATGCCTTCTGTTCTCAAGACCAAATCATCCTTCATTTCGATTGCACAAGAAAAAGATAACTTGATGCCACTCTCTCCTGGTGCTGAATACGGTTGCCTTCCAAGGCAAGGGCTCAAACAAGCAGTAAGTCCCTCAAAAAATTAGATATCATTCAACTGTTTCAACTCATTTTGAACTCTTACAAAAAAATCCATTCGCTTCAAAAGGTTTCTGCAAGAGAATTAAAAACTCGCGCAAGTTCATGTCAAATCAATAGTACTTGGCGTTCCGATGGACAACCACCTAACTTTGACAGACGTAACCCAAGCACCGGTGTTAAATCAGGAAAATCATTTGGCACCTTGAATTCTCTTGTGAGCTGGTTACGAGACTCAAAGAAATCGAACATCAAATCGTCAAAAAGTATCTTTGAATTGAACACCGTAAGACGTTCGACTGAAGACATGAGTACTACAAACAGAAGAAGGTCCGAAACGGTTCATATGATGAAATCATCCACCGTTGGTGCCAAGAACCGTCTTTCTCGTTCTCATCCACTCAATGCCGGTTTTTGCTCCAATGAAACTTCTCTTGTAAGACCCAAGTTTCTTTTCACTTAGTGATAAAATGCAGCGAGTCTACTTCTAAAGATTTGTTTTCCTGTCAATCCTATATTCAATTTTACAGCTGGACGATGAAGAAATCAAATCATCGCCTTTGATCATGAACACTCAGCAAAGAATTATTTCTACACGTGATGAAGTGCCCAAAAGTGAACCTTCAGTTAATCGACTTGAATCGGAAATCCCAACACGTTATTCACTCGAAGTTTATGAAGAAGAAGATGGAGATGATCATTCATCTTTTCATACTGTAGATGGAAGAGATGAAGAAACTCATGATAAAGATGGGTTTTGTTTACCTAAATGGCCTGGTGCTTCACACCATTGGTCTACTGCTTCTCATCCTTCTGAGAGGTTTGGTCAATGGTCTGTGACCGTGGGCAAAGATGAAGTTTTATTACCTGTTGAAGGACTTGGGGATGGTCAAGTTGATCCAAGTACATAGACGCGACCTTCGAGCAATGTAGCACTTTTTTGATTGATAGAAGATCGGATCTGTGTCTTATGCTTACCTATCTTTTTGTTTTTGACGAGCCATGTTATGTAATTCTAGTATCACTCATTTAACAAACACAACGGCTTACAAGATTTTTTTTTCTATTTATGATACCTCAGTGTACTGTCCTTATCTTTCTATATTTCCTGACCTCCACCTGATCATGTCGATTAAACGGTGAAAAATTACTCCTACAATATTTCCAAGCAAACTGAATCTTTTTCGTGGGATAATCGAAATGGCCATTTTTGCATCTTTTTTCCCCGGCCGCCCTGAGGCTGTAGCCTAGTAAGTTGCCGGAGGCTTGGTCCTCGTGGGCTTGGTTTTTCTCAAAAGCAGCCCAGAATTATTCAGTGCAAAATCTCATGAGATGTGTGACAGGCTTTGGAAAAAGAAGTACTATTTATCGTGTTGGCATCTCGATTTTGGCATGGTTATAGTAAACAACAAAAGTACACGCACCTCATTAGAAATATGTCTTGATGGATAAGCCAGATTGAAGGAATTTGTTTGGATACATATTGTTTTACTAGCGCCAAGAAAGCTCTGACACAGTGATAAGTCAAGAAATATTCCCGTCGGACTTGGCGTGAGGGTGATGACTGGTGATGGTCGTGTTTATGACCAGAGATATATTGGGGGATGAAGTGTCATTTGAATTCAGCGGCTGAGTAATAAAAGGAACCTTGGACAAGTTGAAAGTTGAAAGTTGAAGTTTTAGCTCGGTCGGGTAATCAGACGAGTATCAACTTATCGATCAGAACCACTCTTTCTATTCGATATCCTCGACTCTTATCATCAAACTATCATCACACCATGAAGCAGGTCGAACTCACCCTTCGTTTGATCTCTAAACCTCGAACTCTTTTAATCACTTCGCCAACACACGCCCTCATCTTTAGACCATCTCCCAATCATGCTACCACAGTCACCTCACCTCTTCATCGTCCAGAGGTAGTGGTTGAGTTTATTGATATCAAGGAACTCGGAAACCCAAGCTCTATCAAGCTTGCGCGATGTTGTGGTTGTTTAGGTCTACTTCAACTCGATCGCGGTGAGCTTCGATTTCACCTTTCTCTAGACTTTCCTGGAATGAGGTGTGAACTGACTTCAGTTCATTGGTATGCGAGGGTATGCGTAGATATCTTTGTATCAATCGTCACGCATACAACAAGCTTTAGCTCTTTGGACCCTACTCGAGAACCTATTCATCGAATCCTAGCGGTCGATTTCTTCTGTCTCACTTCTGCTGCATTCGATCATTACCAAGCCTCTACTCTTAACAATAATGACTCAGATGAAGGTCTCTATGATCATCCATCAGTGAGTGGACTAAAGAAGATAATGTCGAATGGTCAATTCTATTATTCGACTGGATATGATCTCTCATCTCGACTTCAAGCAAGACTTTCAAATCCTACACAAGCTTATGATCCACGTTTCCTTTGGAACTCATTCATGATGGCTGGACTAAGTGGATTTAAAGATGGTCTATCAAATGAATTGAGGGATGAATTTGATCGTCAAGGATTTCTTGTCTCTGCCATTCAAGGCTATGTAAATACATATGAGCTCAAATTACCCCCCTTACCAGATCACGAAGATCCACAACCTAAACCGATCAATCTATGGATCTCAGTTATCTCCCGACTTGGCTCTCGAAGGGCTGGAACTAGGTTCAATACGCGTGGAATCGATGATAATGGAAACGTGGCGAATTTTGTTGAGACCGAGACTCTGATCCTCACAGGCGCTGCTCTCTTTTCTTATGTCCAGATTCGAGGATCAGTACCATTGTTTTTTGAACAGAGCGGTACTGGAATGACAAATGTGATTGGTGGTTTAAGTGGGCAAGGTCATCGAATTCAACTGACACGAACAGGTGTGGCTACTCAACCAGCCTTTGAACGTCATTTTGAAGATCTCTTAACCCAGTATTCGATTGTTCAAGTTGTCAACTTATTAAGCTGTTCAAGAGAGGGTGAAATTCAACTCAGTCAAGCTTATAGTGATAGACATCAGGCGTACACAAGAGAGACTGTTGGAATGACACATTTTGATTTGCATCAACGTTCCAAGTTGAACGGATTAGAAGGTGTAAGACATCAACTTTTTAATGAGCAACATGTTGGTGGGCAAGTCGATCAGTTCGGATACTGCTTAGCAGCTTTACAACCAGATGGTAAACAACCTACCATCTGCGAAAGCCAGACGGGAGTTTTTAGGACTAATTGTTTGGATTGGTGCGTACATGGCATTCGAGAATGATATCGATTGATATTGATATAGAACTATCTTGCAAACTTTTGCTCGTTGATTGGTCAAAGATATTAGTTTAGATCGGACCAATGGTGGGTGAAAACTTTAGATCTTTCGGATTTTGGTTTTCTTGTTCATCCGTTTTTTTGCCTTTGGGAATCAACCTTTGTAGTTGTTCAGGATATGTTATCGAGGACAGCAGTAGAGAAATTCCTTTCGACCATTTATCCACATCTGCTCCGATCCGATTACTTTGTATGTCATTTGCCTTACCAACCACAATACCCAGGATAACTGAATCTCGTTTCGCTGGTAGTGGAGCTGCCATCGAACATTGTGGGCAGACGTGAGCCATGCGTGTCAATCTCTCAGATTCGACTTGGCACTGACACCTTGACCACACAGAATGGAGATGCGTTATCCAAAATATATGCTGGAACTGGAGCTCTGAATACTAGCTTCACTCGGGGTGGGAAACAAACATTTAGTGGTCAGTTTATCATTGTAGTATCCTTAACCAGCCTGTCATTCAACCTTTGATTTTTTTCTCGAGTCAGGCATGTTGTCGAATGCATCAAAGTCAGTAGGCCGGATGTACAACTCGAACTTTGTTGATAAGTCGAAACAAGCCAACATCGATTTGTTACTTGTGAGCGTATCATCAAACTGGTTGTAAAATTGAAATTGACCATAAAAACCTTCATGTGATCTACGCAGGGCAATCTGAATCAGCAAAAACCTGTAAAAGTTTTTGATCCTATCAATGATACAGTCAAGTCACTCTTACATACTCGGCAATCGGAATACTCTTCAGCTCTACCGATCACGATATGGGCCGGGACTTATAATCTGAATGGGCGAATACCATCTGCGTTGACTAGTGAAGATCTTATGAAATGGCTGTGGCCAGTCGGATGTTTGTTTCTATTCACATTGCTTCGAAGTAGGTCCCGAAGACATTGACCATATTGCTTACTCTCATTGCAGCCAACGAGCCGGATATCATGGTCATCGCCTTCCAAGAAATTGTCAAATTGTCTCCTCAACAAATCATGATCACCGATCCAGAAAAAAAGTTTGGTTTTGATTTCACATTTTTCTTTTTCACCGTTTGATGATCTCGTCTATCATAATTTAGCATTAATTCTGACCTTGCTGTGGTTTAGACGTAGATGGGAGCAAACCATCATGACATCTCTCGAGCGACGTCCAGATAAGAAGAGTTCATACGTGATCTTACGTTCAGATCAATTAGTTGGTACCGCTTTAATCATCTTGGTCAAGTCCGATATGGTAAATGAAGTCAGATCGGTAGAAGCAACAACTAAAAAGGTATCTTTTCAGATTTCTATTAAACCATAATTGATGATTAAATTACTGATAGATGAAACAGACTGGTTTGAAAGGAATGGCAGGAAACAAGGGAGCTGTTTCGATTCGATTACAGTATCATGATTCTAGTTTTTGTTTTGTTACGGCTCATTTTGCTGCCGGATATAACAATGTTGAAGAAAGAAATCATGATTATCTTACGATTTATAATGAACTTGAATTCTTAAAGGGCAAGACCATTTCCAGTCATGAGTTGAGTTAGGATTTAAATTTATAATGGACTTAGTTGAACACGAGATAAGTACTGATTTTTATCTATGAAAAAAAGGAATGTTATTTGGGCTGGTGATTTCAACTACCGGATTGGCGGAGGTCTGAGTAACGAGTTTGTACGCCAAGCGGTCGTGGAAAAGGATCTTACAACATTACTAGCTGCTGATCAGGTAAGTCTCGATCACATCCGGTCGCATTTGCTCCATTAGGTGATTTTGGGGATGACTTATCTTTCATGACAAACTCAGTTACTGGCGAACATGTCAACCCAAGCTGTATTCCCGAAATATTTGGAAGGTCCTATCACATTTCCACCCACTTATAAATATGACATCGGCACAGACCGTGAGTTTTTCTTCTTCCTGAATGTTTTATGATCAGATTTGGTTGACTGAGACGATTCAATGTAGGCTATGACACAAGTGAGAAGCTAAGAATACCCGCTTGGACAGGTAAGCTACCCTTGGCTAAACTTTTATAGCTTTCCATTGACCGGTTGTTCTTGTTTGAAATCAGATCGGATTTTGTATCTAGGGGATGATGTGAGTTGATTTTTTCTTACTGATGTGTCCAAATGTACTTATCAAACCTGTTTGATGATCCCAGCTCGATTTAACCAATTATTCAAGAGCTGAACTTAAAGTCTCAGATCATAGACCAGTCTACGCTATCATCAGAGCAAAGGTTAGAGTCGTAGATCGGGTAAAAAAAGATGCTATTAGGAAAGAAGTTACACAAAGCGTTTCACTGAAACGCGTTCGAAGTCAGATTTTGGGACCCATAATATGTGATTGTAAGTTTGAAGATCATTTTTGAACATGTAGGTGTACTTTGACTTAAGCTTTGGTTTTGCGCGTAGCACAAACCTCTTCAGATTTAAACACAACAGAAGAGTGGTGGAAAACTCTAGGTTGGATATATTTTTCTTTTAATACGTCCTAATCATATCTGCAGTGATCTTGACGACTTATTTTGCTATTTTGAAATTGATGATGACAGAAAATCCGAATGGGATCTATGTAGCCACACCGGAAGAACTGTCCCGAGTTAGTGGGAAAACTAACAATCCTTTCGATCCGGATTATATGGTATCTCCTCCACGACTTATAGCCACTACATCAGAACCATCAATACCTCAAACTGGCTCAGTTATCGAAGTTCATGCCACCGCTTCACTTTGCCCTACGCCCACCTCACCCGCTTTTTCGGCTTTCGGCGCCAAAGGTCCTCCACCAGCTATACCTGCGAGACCTCCTATGAAATTGAACTCACAACCTCGTGCAAGTCCCGATCCACCACCAGTCCTGTCGAAAAAACCACCACCACCACCACCGAGACGTCCATTAAATCGTCCAACCCCACCAATAGAGAACAATGTCAAAGAAGAAGGAGATGGCTCATTAACATTTTCACAAATCGCGAATATTCCAATTCCAATATCAAGACCAACATCTAGTCTATATCCAACTGAACCAGAAGAGTCTTCTTTATTAAATGATACAGAAACCAATGATGATAAATTAGTACCATGGCCAGTATCAAGACCACCGATTATAAAAAGTAAACGACCTGTTATTAGAAGTCGAGTTCCTTCATTGGATCTTCAAAGTAACCTTTCTCGATCGAATTCTTTACCTCCTCGACCTCAACCTCAACCTCCTCCTATTCCTCCTAAACCTAAATTAAATAAACCAGAATTAAAACCTAGACCTGATTTGAAAAGAATCTCTAGTACTTCTAGTTTTGTTTCATAAATCATCTCTTAAGGCACAATCCTATCTTTGTATCTGTTTTTTTTTATGTTTGAGTTCTAGGTTTGATCAGTGGCATGGATTTTTCCAAAAAAAAAACCCGAATGTGTAATAATTTTGTGTCAACGAATCGAATTGATTGTCTTTTAAGTTTTGTTTTTTGAATGGTAAAAAAGTGGACAATCCTTTTTGACTGTTTTCTTTGTAGCAGATTTTATGTATGTGTTTAGGTTTTTATTTATCATTTTTCTTTATAGATACCTATTTGTTTCTTTTGTACAAAGGGTTGTTTGTATTATGTTAATTAATCAATTTATAAAAAATTATTACGATCTTGAAGTATTAACATTGGTTGTGGAAAGCGGGGAGGGGTGTACTGATAATTATATACCTTTGATGATTTATCATTTAGGTGGGATGTGGTAGGACTCAGGAGGGAGCAGAACAATCGCCATTCTCTTAATATTGATTCTTGATAGCTCCATATGTAGTCAACTTGACAACTTGGCGTGTGAGGTAAAGTGATATTCATCATTGTGGGAAGCAGTACAAGTCAAAAAACCACAAAAAAAGACTTGATGACAAAGTCTTCACGCCTGAACACAACAATTAGTCATAGAGGCATTTTCTTTAGTGAAGGTTCATAGTGTTTGTACAAATACAAGAAAACATGATTCATTTTCCATCTGCTTTCAAGAACCCTCCAGCGTCTCTGTACCCTTTTTCAAGTCTATTTTTTGCTACTTTTTCTGTCTTGACTTATACACTTAGAAACAAAACCTTCAGTATAGGTATAAGGGAGACATGATTGATCAGAAGGTCGATATTGATCTGACGAGCTCTTTGTTCTGTAAAACTTTTGTTTGAAGTAGTAATTCAAGATTTGTAATCAGGATTAGATGGTTCATGAGTTGATTCAAAACTTTCATCTTTAAGTCGACTTTCACAATCTGACCATCTCCAAGTATCATTTGGTTTGTTGATAGCTTCTCCTATTGAACACAAAGTCAAAATTAAAAGCTGTAGAGATATGTAAAAGAGAGTTTCATTTGCATACGAATGATTTGGTTTAAAAGAGACCAGGCGCAGATTTTCCGGCTTGTTCATTACTATTCTGCATTGTTTTTCACGTTTTCTCACTTTCTCGTCTCAAATTTGGGTCAATTGTCCTTTTGAGACGTCCTTTACAGTTCGAACAGCAAGATACTCGTTTTCTTCTTGTCGTGCCTCACATAGTTTCAGTGAGGCACGACATCATCCATTCATCTATCATGAATGTATGATGGTCATCTACCCCTTACTCCGGATGTCTCTCCCTGCATAGTAAAGAATCAAAAAGGCAGATTTCTGGACCTTCTGATTGTCTCACTATTCGACATCATCGTTGTCAAACATTCGGTTTTTTGGCCTTTTGAAAGTGATTTTATTTGCCCTTCTGTCCGAATTTTGTTGCCCGCATGAACTTTGCGAGGTCAAATCACAGCAAAGAGCCATGGGTTTTGGGAGTTCTTTTCTGTGAAAGGTCTCGGGTGTGGCAATGCACGTAAGCCACACATGCTGGAATTGCTTATATGTTTGCCCGATTGTGTTATCCGCTCTCCTCAGTCAAATAGTTCCTAAAATCCAACTATATGTGGTTAGTTTGCTTGTTTCTCATGTTGGGGTAGCCATTTTGTAGTGATTTTTTGAGCTCCGGAATCTTACTTGTTTCTGTTCAATCTTTTCAAAGGGAAAGCATTGCAGCTTGAATTCGATAGAACACAAGCTCAGCATTCAGGCCGAGGTAAAATTAATCATTGGACATCTCAAACATTGGGCATGGTTTTAGATAGGTGAGCGAGTGACACTCTGTAGCATGTCACTCGCACTCTAACCGAATTCCTCTGCAGATCCCAGATTCAAAAACCACTCTAGCAGTGGAAAACCTGCTAACGACGTGCAAAAATCTAGACAAAGTGCGCCTGGTCCTTAAAGTCGTCTTTAACTTATTCTGTTGAACCGGCTAAAAAACCCACAAGATAGTGAGCGGTGAAGCAATTAATGGTGTTAGTAAAGTTATTACAGAGCACAAGTACATGCATATATAGAAACTTGCTTGCTTTGTCTCTTAGAAATATATTTGTGATCTTGAGCTTTATTGGGTAGAGGTTGATTGTATATACCAATACCAAGAGCTTCTGAGATCGATCGTGCTTTTTCAGGTGTCATCGAAGGTGGACTATCAGCTGGTCGTCGACGCCTCTGTTTGGGCATAGTGTGACAGTCTTCAATTAGATTGACGAGTTTGTTTCTACGAGCGCGTGGCATGTTGAAGGAGAATTGGTCTCTAGTGAAGGATTACTTGAAAGAAGTCAAAAATGGTTCCGAAGAATTGAAAGTTAACGATATTCTAGCTCCTTGGTGGTGCACCGGGCGAGATATTATAATGTGGTGTGGTGTGGACTTGATCCTCGATAGGGATATTACGCGGTACACGCGTTCGTCGCGTCCTTGAGCGGCGAACGCGCTTGCTGGACTAGCTTAAAACAAGCCACCAACCGCAGAGATGTTCCCGAGAGGATGTGAGGAAGGACTTGCAGTCAAGTTAGCTTGCTAGAGCGGCTTAAGTTAAGCTCAGCGGTACATACAATACAAGAAGATCAAAAAACATCATATCACTTATTTGCAAAAATAGGCACTTTGAAGGTTCAAGCCAGACAAATCTTCACTCGATTTCTCTACATTGACTTATTCCCCCTTGGCAGGCTGTCAATAGGAGCGTATAGATGACATGCCATGATGCAGCAAGTTTTCTCTTTGATGGAGTACGGTATCAATGTTCGTTGACGTGTGGAATTTGAGTCAGCTGTGTTGCACGATCAGGCGTCTGCATATTAGAGTTGGATGGGCATGAAGGGGCTCTTCTCTTCCAACGGACATGTACATCTTGTTGTTACATTGAATATCAAGGCAAATCAAACGAGGCCCATTGGAAGCGGTAATTCATAATCAGGGAGGTAAAACGAGATGATAAAACAAAAACAATGATTATTATAGACATCGCATCCTGTGCGAGTGGTTTGATGTGTTCAAATAGCTTCGCGAGCAAAAATCGTTAGCTTGACTGTTTCACGGAAAATTGGGTTGACGAATCCGAGTGTTTGTTCTCTACTTGCGATCATTCCCTAAAGTCTTTTCAGAAGAATACTGGGCTGGATCGCTTCCACCAAAGAGATATTTGAGTGCTTCAGATCGGTCAAGTAGGGCGGAATGTAGTATCGGAGGCATATGGCCTTCTAAAGATCTATTCAAAGCCGAATCAATTTCAGGGTTGGTAAGATTGGATTGGTTCAAGTTGTCCATCATCGGCGTCATCACTATCGTCTTCGTCTGCTTCTGCGTCTTCATCATCTTCATCATCTTCATCTACTTCAGCGTCAGCATCTTCTTCGCCATTCATATCCTGATCTATCGGTGGTCGGGAAGGCTGTGCGCCGATTGATTGAGTTCCGAGCGACGTGATAGAGCTTGCATCCATTTCGGTCCTCCCACCTTCACTCTCGTCATCTCTCTCATTATATCCATCTGCGTCCTCTTCTCCTGCGTCTTCTTCACCATCTGAATCGAAAAGAAATGGTAATGAAGGATCGTGGGTTTGATAGCGTTTGATTCTCTTTCGCTCTGGTTCCTCGTCAAGTGATGCATCATCGTTCGAAGGCAAGGGCAATCGAGTGCGGATCAATTCAATTTGATCGAGAATCAAGCTGTTTCATAGGATATAAGCGGGTTGAAATCGGATTCAGTCAATCGTACTTTGGAACTGGTGATGAACAGATTAAGGTGTTTTGAAGGGACGAAAGTCACTCAACTCGCATTCAGATCTCAGTTTGCTCTCTTTGGACTCCTTTTCTGAAAGCTCAGCCTTGTAGCCATTAGAACGATTCTTTATCTCATAGAAAATAGATTTCAATTCTGTATCTAAAGGGATGAATTCCAAAGTCAGTGAGGTGTTCGTTTGATGATTCAAGATAGATCTGTCTTGCTACAACTAACATCGATGTTTCAGTTTGATACGACTGGTGAAGTCCGGCTTCGGTGGTGGCGATGGTAGCATTGAATCTTCCATGTTCGATTGGTAAGATATTGAGATAACCTTCCGGGTGGGTTTATCTGGGGCAAGAGGTTGGTTGATCGACGGAGCCGAATGTGTCTGAAGGAGAGGGAAAGGAAGAGTCTCTGGAATCTCAGGGTTACGGTCAAAAGTTAGCTTAACTAAGCCCCTCGCGCGGCCGTTAAGCTAAGGTCAAAAGCCTGTCTCAATGATTTTCCATTTTAGTCACGTTGTGTCTGCGACGGTCTCAATTTAGTCCAACTACAATGTCCCTCCTCTCGCGATTTCCCGCTCATCATCGATTCAAAAACAACCTGGATGATAACTCTTCATCATGTCAATTAGCTTCCTACTTGGACACCATCGATCTAGTCTGATAAAACGATTTTTTCTCAATTGTCACACAGAATCACAAAATGAAGACGTCTTTACTATGTGGGCAATTGCCCTGATACATGCAAGCCTCGCCGTAGCCCTCGGATGAGAAGCAATGGGCAACTCCTTGTGTCAGGTCACTCAAAGACAACAATCAGACCTTGAACAATCTTCATGGCAATGAAGTATGTATGTATGTTGTTTATATGAACAGAAAATAGTAGTACTCCATGCCAAGGACTCGAGTACCTGTGTATGTACGTGATTTGACACCTACTTAATGATTACAATTCATGAGACCATGATTATATCAAAAAGTAGGAGGATCACACGGAACACACATTCAAATCGGATTTTTATAGCGTCCAGATATGGCGCTTCATGCCCGTTTATAAAACTTGAAGATGTGACAATAAAGCTCAAAATATCATGATCAGGTATTGAATACATGCGGATTTGTATACGTGACGTATAAGATCCCTATGAGTAATCTCATCTAGTCAAGTAACGACATTGTGGATTATGATGCTAACTATCAACAAGTAGCCTTGCAAAGACACAAGTACAGACCCAAGTGCATCATCATAAATCATCTATGTCTTGGTGTCATGTCCAGCACGATTTCAATCTGGTTCAGATGAAGTCCTCTGCTAATGGTGAACCTGAACAAGCCAGGTTTACAAGGCCCAATTATAAATCTTGAGTCTGATTTTGCTTGGACTTGTCACAAGTTGCGTATATTGGTGGATTCTTTTAAAAAGATGAAAGATTATATCTAAATTTATATCTAAATACAGAAACTCTTTCTAGGATATGATGGGATAAGAAGTCCGCTTTGAACACAAGTGGGCTCCCTACTTGATTCTTGTAGCATGATTAATATATTCATGTTGTTAATTCTCTTTGGAAACTTAATGTTGGACCAATTCTAGCTTGCAGGGAGGGTCTGAAAATGTGGCTGGCTGAGACTGAATGCTTCACAGTTGATCAACGTGTAGAATTGGGCTGAGGCCCAGTGATTGGTCAGTTGGGACAACCCGTGTTTACATAATAATCATGAATGAGTTTTATGGGCTGACTTTATTTATGGGGAAGCAAAGGAGTTAATACTTGGGAAAATCAGTAAGATTTCGAGAAAATTTCAAGAGAGGAGGAATATGCTATGTAATAGAACGAGATCAACGTGAATACCAGTGAAAATGATGTATAAAAAGATCAGAATTAAGAAGCGCTGATGGTCAGTTGATGAATAGAGGACTGAGCTATTCAGAGATGATACTAAAATAGAAACATGATCTGGATTGTCTGTGCGCCTTGATAAGATGAAAAACAACGTATGAACAAATATAAATGTATGCGATTTTGATTTATTATGAACCGTATAACTTTGGCATAACTCCTTGGAGTAGTGTTCCACAAAGTTATTTTGACTATACAGACGAAGAAAAGAAGAGGTACAAGGCCAAGAGGTTTTCCAATTGCGACTGCGTCAGATTTATCCAAGGCTCTTATCCAACGATGAAGATATCCAGCTTCAATGCAGTAAACTTACCCATCAAGATAGACAAGATGTTCAAAAATGATAGCTAGGGAGTTAAGCATCACACGTGCAAGATGATCGCCATATGCGACCTTTAGCCTCTTGCATAGGAATATCTTGGCATGAGCCACATTCATGTTGCTTCCGCGGGTCTTGAACCGGGATGATGATGTCTAGATCGACCCATACGCGCCACTGCGGTACAAGAATAAGATACCGATCACACAATGAGAATGTTTCCCCACGAAGAGGACTTGATATATAGGACGCGTAGAGGTACAGAAATCAGCTTACAAATTGAAACGACATTGCAGTGGCAATGAAGATTCCATTGGCTAGCGATAGCCATGAACCGACTCCACGCCAGTGCGCCCTTCGAATATGAATATACCACCAAGGTCAGATTACAAGCGCACGTCGAGAATGAGCAGAGTGTTTTGTTGTGACTGTCTATGGCTCTAGACAAGAAAAGGAAAAAGACACCCACGTGAGCACGATATCCTTAGCACGGGCGCCCATGAGAAAACAGACAACAGTCGAATAAAAGATGGCACTGATCATTGTCAAGCTGTGCAAAGTTAGGTACCCTAAAACCCATGTTAGCAAGTGTGACATAAGTCACAAACCGATCAGCGTTTGAATATGATATAACTTTGTAGACCATGATGGAGTGATGAAGTGGCTTACGCAACCCTCGATGGAGCAATCTCGCATCTTCCTTGTCAAGAGATATTGCTCCACCTTCTTCGGTGTAGGTATTTTTGCGTCGAACAAGTAAAGCTACTTGCACTTTTCGTTTCCGGCGAACCGGCTCACTATCAGCACCCTTGATCAAAGAAATCAATGACCAAGTTGCCGTAGCGTAAATCTGACCAGTACCCCAGGAAGTAATTACTACTTAGCTATGCAAATTCAACATGGTTTGCTGCTGCTTGTAGCAATAGTTTGACTTACTAACAGTGTGATCAGAAGGATCACGCCCCAAGCAAAGGCCATCACTTGTGAGCTTTGAATCAGCCCACCATCGGTTCGCACTAAACTAGCGGCCCTCCGCGTCACATCACGCGTCTGAGCGACTAGAGCGGTCACATTACCATCACCAGTCACGTTGTTGAACAATCCGTCTTTTAACATCGCGGTGGCGGCATTGGTCGTATTATTCAAGGTGGTCCATGATTTTGCTGCTTCCTTCATTGAATCAACTAGATCGTGCCAAATGTCGCGCTCACGACAGAAAGAAGTGATGTGCCAAGCGAGAAGTCCGACTTCAACAAGAGTGACCAACGCCGGTACACCCAGAAAGAAACAATTGAGGAACAGAGGCTTGAAGATGAAAGAAGGTGAAGATTTGAGTATTTCTGCGTACGCTGTCTGCGTATACAGCCTGTGGAGAGGGAGGTCAAGGGCTGAAATTCAGATATCTCTTGCCTTTGGCATCCGCTATGCGAGTAGGTTCCAGCCCTTTTGCGGAAAGCTTACCGAGTGTAGACTGAGGCCCAAGCCGTCACCCAAAACCCATAGAAAGCTAGTAGCCAAGATATATAGAGCCTAAGAATAAGAAAATTTCGGATTCAGTGGTGTGAACCAAGCCACCAAATTCCAAGGGATCACATGACTTCGAGCCCAAGGAAAACCCTTTGAGATTCAGACTGACCAGAGTAACAAACCGTTCTTGGAGGCTACATTGTAAGATTTGAAGGAGGCCAAAGTGAGCCAGATTTCCGCTGTTGCAACAATACTGGCCAGGAGCTGGAAGCATGCCATCAGCGGTCCACTGTTGGGCAATATGAGCGCTGTGCTCTCCACTGACACAATCATGATGAAGTTATCCATGTTTCAGGATGTTACCAAGAATCAGCTTCACTCTTGATTCAAAGTCCCGGTTCTTAAAGGTATACAAGACGTTCGCGTACCCGGATATCCGTCTCCATCTTCGACATAAATCCTTCTGAACAACCAGTCATATTTGGCTTTTTGGGTAGCTGATTTAGGGAAAATGAAGCGAAGCAGTATGACGACACAAACTATAGCGGAGAGGAAGTGGATGATTGCAAAGACAATGAGTACAGCAACAGTCGCAGTTGGGACCTTGGGGAATCGTAGACTGTTGATGACTTCCTGCCCAAATTCAAATGGATTGACGTTTGAAGGAACTGATTCCAAGGTGCCTTTGTTGAGAAAAATGACAACAAATTAGCTTTACTGTTCTTCAGTGATTGAGGCTAGGTCATAAGAAAGAAATCACTTTTGAGTGTAGCATTAGGAGGCAGATATCGAGACATTGTGTGGGGGTTGATTGGAGGGAGTAAGTGCAAGACGAGAAAGTTGAGAAGACCAAGTGGTTCTAGAGATCCTACATCACATTTTATGTTGTACTTGATTTCGGCATGCTTGTCCAACTTTTCCCGCAAAGTTCGAGCGATTTGGCAGGATTTGGCGCGGAATTTGCAAAATCAACAGTATAAACTCACTCAATCTCACTCAATAATTCTACATCCTGCCGAGGTCAGCCAAGGTCGGAGCTCGCGAGAGCTGACGAGAGGTGATTGCACAACATTCGCCGCCGTGGAATAGTCACACGATCCGGGCTATGCACCTTGGCAAACTCAATTCACTCAAAGTTGGTCCTGTTATCGGATTGTAAGTGAATACATGATCAATGGAACACACAAATGATGATGTCATTACCTGACGATGGGTACGTCAGTTCTCGGTCCAGGGAGTACATAGGCTTCCACACATCAGTCACTGCTCGCTATAAGCATCATAATGCATCAAATCGGATGCTTACAAAGTGCGATGCGTCATTTTGAAATCAGCATAAAAGCATCTTTGGGAAGAAAGTGAACCTGATGCTGATTTTGGGGAAGAAAACCCGCATTCAAGACATTGTATTTTTATGAACTATAGTTTTTGGACATTTTTGAGGACCCTGGAAAGCTCTGGTTGAAGTTCCTATGTAATGAAAAACCTTACCATTTTTCAGACCAAACCGGGAAAGTGGAAGATTTTTGGTCAAAACCTGACCATTTTCATTAGGGACCTCAAAAAAAAAAGTTGGCACCGGGTTCTATAATTATTTGCATAGGAGTTTGGAGATAGCATAGTATTTGGAATAAAGCATAGTAGAAAGAGAAGAGTTTCTCATGAATGGATAGTTAAGACAAAAGAATTGCTTAATCATAGATAAGTTGTAAAGATACATGATCAGTTACCTTCAATGAGAGTTGACATGATTGGTCCTTTGAGACTTTAATTGTGAGACTTCGTCCTCATACCAACCAATTGAGTGTTTGATATCAGAGCCTCCTGACATATCTCTGATAGCTGTTGGGATTGAGTAGCAACCCCCATCCAGGGACATAAATTTGGAGCCAGTCAAAGGTGGAAAAATATAAGGGCCCGTTCGGTAGGAAAAGCGATATACCGTTACCGAAAAACGGTATATCGATCTGCCCCTACAACAAGGGGCAGATTGAAATACCGTTTTTCGGTCTTGTGATTTTACCGAACACCCGATCAAAATGGTCATCATAAGATCAAAATGATCAATGTTGACCTTTTGATGACCATTCGAGTGTTCGGTAACGACAAATTGAAATGAATATAATGATCAAAGATCGAAAATCATCAGACGGTTTTTGAGATCGATCGAATCAGTTTCGATTCCATCCATCCATCCATCTCATCTCATCTCATCATCGTGGTCATCAACCACTCATCATCAACTCAAAACCCATCACTTTTTTTAAAAAGACCACTCCTCGTGTTCATTGATAATTTGTTTTGAATCAAGTTTGTATCATTCAACTTGTTTTAAAAACCACTCATCGTGGTCATCAACCACCTAAAGGGTTGGTTCATTTGCCAGTGTCTCATTCAGATCACATAAGTTTACACCATGGAGGGTCTTTATCAAGTTCAAGCTATCAGAGCTGAAAAACGTGTTAAACATAGAAAAATCATTAAATTACAATTTCTAAAAGAACTTCTTGCAGTTCAACAAAAGCAATTTCGAGTTTTTTCTTACTTTAGCACTAGTGTACAGGCCTGTATGTCACAGATGTTGCCTAAACTCACCAAAACTCCACGACTCACGTCCTTGCTCAGCGGTCAGATGTGGATTGATGAGCTCATTCATCACACTACAAGAAAGATAATATTTTCTGGGCAGAAAATTAAATTATTGATACACAAAAATATTGAGAGGCCAGGAGGAGAGCAAAAAATGAATAAAAATATGCATCTTGTTCCCTGCGTTGAGAACTTCACTCTGCATATTTTTGCGTATTTTTACAGTCCATATTGATAAGTGTACTAACAATAAACCTTCACAATCATCCAATTACAACCTGTAACAAGCACTGAAATTTGGCTCATTAGTGTTTAGAGAAACTTTTGATTTCTCAAAATACTCATAACTTTTTCAATTCCGGTCCAAAACGCTCGATTTTGGGTGCATTGGTAAGCTGGAGTTGTCCTCCAAATAGTTCATAATAGGACCACACAGCATGCTGGTTTGCTAAAAAAGATATCATCTTTTTTATACATTTGTACATACAGATCCATAGAATGATTGTCATACTAGCTACATAGTTCTTGATCTTATGAAAGTTTGAGAGGAGGAGTTCAGCTTTCTAATGCACTTAAAATCGAGTGTTTTGAGGCAGATTTGACAAAGTTATAGGTGTTTTCAGAAATCAAAAGTTTCTTTAAACACTAATGAGCCAAATTTCAGTGCTTGTTACAGGTTGTAATTGGATGATTATGAAGGTTTATTGTTAGTGCACTTATCAATACGGACTGTAAAAATATGGAAAAATATGGAGAGTTAAGCTCTCACCGCAGGGAACAAGATGCATATTTTTATTTATTTTTTGCCCTTCTCCTGGCCTCTCAATATTTTTGTGTATCAATAATTTAATTTTCTGCCCAGAAAATATTATATTTTGTGTAGTGTCATCCAAATGAATCAGTATTTCATGATAATCTTGGAATGCGTAAACATGTCTTTTTCGAACTACGCTCCGTTCTTGAAGACTCTGGAATATTGAGTGACTCCCGTTGGGTTACCAGTACGGAAAAGTTGGCACTCTTGCTCTATAGTGTCATCACTGGCCTGTCAAATCGTAAACTTCAGAACCGTTTTCAAAGATCAGCTGATACTGTTTCTAAGTGAATTTTTTCATTCTTTTTTTTTTGAATTTTCTCATCACTCTTTCTGACATGTCTTCTTTTGACTAGGACAATCAATCAGCTTGTTAAAGGAATATGTAGTGATGGAAAGTTACTTGGCAAATATATTCCTCTTCCGAATGCCAACACTCCTCTCACGGATACCTTCTCCGAGAATCCGAAGTTCATGCCTTATTTCAAAGACTGCATCGGTGTAATTGACGGTACACACATTCCGGTCACTCCGCCAGCTTCCGAGTTTGTTCCGTTCTCTAATCGTAAAGGCTACACTTCTCAAAACGTCCTTGCTGCCTGTAATTTCAACATGGAGTTTATTTATTTATTGGTTGGAGCCGAAGGAAGTATGGCCGACAGTGCTCTTTGGACTTTGGCTCGAAGTCGTGATCTTACGATTCCCGCTGGAAAGTATTATCTTGGTGACGCTGGCTTTGCTCTCACCAAGGATTGTCTTGTTCCTTTTCGAAAAGTCCGTTATCATTTACGAGAATGGGAAGAGAAAGGTTTCAGGTGAGATTGATTTCTTGTTCATCATTTTCATGCTTTTCTCTTTTTTATTCTTCTCAACCACTTCTTTTATCCACTTGCAGACCTGCCAACAAAGAAGAGTTGTTCAACCTTCGACACGCTAGTGCACGCAACGTCATCGAGCGCATCTTTGGAGTTTGCAAGAAGCGCTTCAAAATCATGGCGCACGGGTGTGAATACACCATCGAGATTCAAATTGCTATGGTTACTGTCATGTGCTTTATTCACAACTTCATTCGAGTTAAAGACCAAAAAGGTTCAGCTGAAGAATTCCCGGAAGTTGGTGAAGGATTTATGCCGGATCCTCAAGATGCAACAGAACCCGCTACTCAAGAAGAAATTGGTGGTCTTGAGGCCTTTGGTAGCACGGCTGAAGGTAATAACTATGCGAAGAATCTCAGAGATAGAATTGCAGAAGACATGTGGAGAGATTACTTAGTAGAAATTGAAAGACAAAAAAAAGTAAATCGAAGCAAACAAAGACACGGACAACCTCCTATGTATCCTGGTATTTAAATCATATGTAGCACTTTTAATTCTTAGTTTGCAACTCTCAATCAATCAAAGCATCTTTATCTTATACATGTATTATTCATTGCAAGTCTCAGTTGAAATCATTATTATCTTACATGTATCAATCAAATATTTCACTTTGGTTTGTTCAATGAAAAGAATCTTTTCATTCAGTATTTTTTAATTCATAAAGACACTTGTACTCATCGACATTGCAATAACTAACCAATCAGACAGTCACTATTACATTTGTATTAGCATGTATACATAAAAATGTAGGTAATAATATTTTATTGAAGGGTTTAATAAGTTTTATTTAATCAGACAGTCACACAGTCACTACATTTTTTATTGAAGGGTTTAATAAGTTTTATTTAATCAGACAGTCACACAGTCACTACATTTTTTATTGAAGGGTTTAATAAGTTTTATTTAATCAGACAGTCACTACATATTTTATTGAAGTTCTCAAATTATTCTTTGAGATCAGGAAGAGTCACTACTACATTTGTAAGAGCATGTATGTATTAAGATGAGTTAATAATATTGTAAACTTGATCTTCAAGGGACATGATCAATGGAATCATCGAGTCAGTAGGTATATATTAAATAAGTAATCAAGAAGTTCTTACACTTACTTTACTTGTTGAGGATGTATAGGAGCCAATCGCCACGTTCATTAGCTGGCGTGTTAAGGTACGTTTTGGCCATCACAGGCTTTGCAGCAAACAGATCTACAGCAGCATAGCGTTGAGGACGAGTCATATCGGACGCATAGACCAGCTTGACCGCTTGAGCATGAGATGATGCAGGTTCAGTAAGGGATTGGGCCACATGGTTGATGTTGGCTGAGCTTGAGGTGATGGAGGACTCGATGGTTGATCCAAAGTCTTGCATAGTACTCAAGAAGTTGTCCATTATCTCGACTCCTGATCGTTTCTTCTTCTTGATGGGAGCACGGGCAGCGAGGGCAACCTTGGACTTGCGGTGTCGTTTAGCAGCGGTAGTATCGTCTTCTGAGCTGGACTCGTTGATGTCATGTGAATCG